GCACCATGGTGGGCAGCGACAGCCCCGCGGGGTTCATGGTCGGGTCGGGCCGGGCGGGGCACCGCCACCGGCTCCGCTCCCGGAAGCGGCGCTACCCCTACGGGACCAGGAAGCCCTGCGAGCCTGGGGGGCGCATGCGCCTTGGCGGAGGCCGGCTCACGCCCCGACGTGAGGCAAGGCAGGAAGTCCCGCCCTTTCGTGGCTACGTCATGGCTGCGTCGCCCCCCAGTGGAGTAAGAGCCTCACAGGGAAGCGCGGCAGGCGCTGGCTCGCAGTGGCTGGGGGGGGGATAGAGCGCTGCGCGCGCTGTACAGCCCAGACCCAGGCACAGGCACTTTCGTCCCGAGGGCTGAGGCGGGTGGCTGCAGGAGCGCGCTCCCGAGCCCGCCTGGAGACAGCTGGCAGCAGTGCGCGGGCCGCCCTGACTGGCTAAGCTAGGTGCTCACCTCGGCGTCGGGTCCGCTCCCGCTTCCTTCCCGGCTGGGGCAGGAGCCCTGTGAGCAGCGCACCTTTCCCGAGGGAGGGGGACAAGACCAAAACACCCTAGGGTGCTCTGGGATATAAAGCCTAAACCTCTGTATGCTCCTGGTTTCCTATGGGAGAAAGGCAGCTTTCCCAGGAAAAAGTGAATGCCTGCTGTGGCCTGGGATACACGTAGTGGGGGGGGTAGCGTGTCTGTAGGACCCCAGGACCTTTTGTGCTGGGAGAAATGGGTTGTCTGCTTTTAGCCAAAGCAGCCCCTGGCTTCAGCCACCACTAATCCGTGCCTGTTTTTTTGACTGAACCATCTCATCTCGCGTCAGCATGGGCCACTGGAACTTTTTTTTATCCTCATGCTCAAGCCCACTTCAGATATCTGTTGGACTGGCTCAGGCCTCTGGCCGTCTTGCAAACAAAATTAAAATCCCCTTTTACTGGCACCAAAATGGAAAACTCCTATAACAATGAACCATCTTGGGTCAGGAGAACTGGAATCATTTAAAAGTTTACATATATTTCCAGTCGTATTTGGGCTATATCTTCTGATTCAGACTTCAGCTGATCTGGTCCTTGTGCCTAAATCTGGAAGAAGTTAATGTACAGAGAAGAATGCTGCAATCATGGAGAAAACTGCAGAACATTTTCTGTACTTTGGCTACAGATCACAAGAATCTATCAAAGTGAAACAGCAACAAGCAGCTTGACACTTCTGTAGTTTTTTTCTTCTTAAATCTCAACCTAGAAGTCATTTCATGTTTAACACATACCAGAGTCCAGTCAACACAACCAAGCAATCCGCAAAACTCTTATCATCATTTTGCAATGCATTTTTTTTTAAACTAATGTGCCCTTAAGCATTCATTTTTCTGTGGCCGTTTTACTGAATACACTGACTACAAGACCTGTCTAGCAACTAAAGATTATCTTGGCACCACTTAACACCATAAATAAAAGTCTCATTTGATGTGGGCCTCATTAATGTGGGATTTGCCCTGGATCAGAATGAGAGCAGCACAATCATTTATACAAACAGGCCTTCCAAGCTGCAGGGCTGCTGCTGTACTAGTAGATGGCTAGTGAGAGCACACAGCTTGGGCAGTTTGTCTCAGGAATGACTCAGGGTAGCTTTACAGCGGTACAAAGCCATGTCCTAGCAAAGCGCAAGTACATTTTATCCCACATACTTCACAGGGACTTGTAGCAGGACAGTGGACTTGCTTATCTTTAGGATCTGAAGACATATACAACATCTATTCATAGCGCTAGTGAAACACCTATTGTTTCTGTTACTGGGTTAACCTTACATTTGTGTTTTCTTGGTCTCTTCGAATACCTTCCCTATGTTTTGAACCACGGCCTTTCTTGAGCCGGACTCCTGAGATCAACTGCAACCTTAGTTAAGTCTGGCCTGCAGCTTCCTTGTTTTGGGGAGCTCTGACCAGCAATAAGCTTTCTTAAATCAATGTTTATTCAGAACCTAAGCGTTTCAGAGGAAAAAGATCTTTGAACAATCAGCCTGCAGGCATGTCTAGATTCAGGTGCCTGTGATCCAAGCATACTGTTAAAAATTAAGCTTCCAGACACGCTAAGACATATGTAGTGTAGGAGGTGTAATCAACTTGATTAACCCTCTAGCCAGTTCAATCCACTTCATGGAGAGAATCTTCAAAGCCTGAGTAGTCTTTTGATGCTCCTTTTACATGGCTCAGTCATCTTTTGGTTATAGCCCTCTGATCTGATAAGCTTCCTGCCTCAATGAGACAAGCTGGGCATAAGATGTTGACTCTTTGAAGCTAATGTCTTCCCCCACAGTCTTTCCTTGCATGGGGGTGTTCATGAGGCCATTTTTATCAGGAAGTGATTATTTTCTTGTTGGCAACAGCCTTCATTAAAGTAATATAGGCATATAACAAACATTTCACTCGTTTGCTGTACCTATAAAATCTCTAAGCTTTGGCCACATTCAACACACAAATTTTCTATAGCAGCTCCCTGTTTTCACACAATTCTGGAGATACTAAGATAGGGTAGATTTGCACCTTATAAACTAAATGAGAGACAGATAAGCTTTCATGAGCAGTGGCTTTGTCAGATGGTATACAGTGACTTCATACTAACACAGCTAACTACTCTCTGAAGTTAAGACATCTATAGGGAAGCTAAGAGACTGAAGGACTATCAAACAAAAGATGTAAATGTACCACACTATGAATAGACTGAGTGATAGGGAGAATAACAATATGGTCATGAAGCTGCTCTTTAGATCTTTGGAGAAATACAGCTTTTAACTTAAACCTGTAATTTCCAACTTCCACATGTCTGTCACCATCACCCCCCATTGTTCCCCAGTGCTCAAAGTTCCAACTATATCAATAAGCACATTCTTGTTAGAGTCCTATTTCCATTAATGTGTTTGTATGGATGATGGAAAGAATGTCAGGGAAAAACCCTCAAATGTGGGAACTGAGGTACATGCTTCATGAATATTGGAGTAGAGAATGTTTGATATGAAACTATATCGTCTCTTGTATGATTCAAATAACTGCTTGTTTTGAAGCTATGAATCAATCACACTGAAAAATGTAGTATTGCAGACAGCAATTACAGCACTGACTAAATGCCACTTCTTTTTAAAAATAGATTAAAAGTTGCAGCATCCACTACTTTCTATGCTGCATTCGGTGTGCATTTGACTTGCACTTTTGAAATATTACTTCAGTTTTAACAACTGCTTTAGTCTCATGATCACTTAAAAACTCTTTTCAGACTGCTGCTATATGTCAAAGGCCTATCTTTTGTGCTATTTTGAATAAACAATAATTTATTATCTCATGTACATCCCTCCGTAATGCTAACTCTTGTGAAAAAATTGCGAGACTCATGATTTCCAAGTCAAATTAACTCTGACTCATGATCTCAGGATAGAACCCCCAGGGGTGCGCACAGTGGCAGAGAGCTGCACCCACTGTTCCTCCCCTGCGCTTCTGGACAAGCCGCCTGTGGCTCTGTCATATAACCCATGCCCCGACACGTACGTACATACGTAAGTACGTACGTGTGTGTGTGTCCTTCACTCCCAAACCACAGCCCTCCCTCTCCAGCCCTGCTGCTGCCCCTCACTTCTGACCCACAGTACCCCACATCCTGCCAGGGTATGTGGGGACCACCCCCACCCCAGGCTCTCACCCC